CCAGTGAACGCGTGCAGCTCCTCCATACCCAGGTGAGGTCCTTTGGTGAAAAATGGCATTCTTGGTAAGTGGGAGAACACTTGTGTGCTTTATTTCAGTCACCACTGGAGGCTCAACTTCGAGAAAGAGAGTCCTGTTTTCTGAAGTATTCATTAAGTTACTAAAAGAGATCTTTGTTGGAAAAGTGTGTGCACTGATTTTTTTCCCAAGCTGCATACGATGGCTCCCATGCTTCTGCCTTACTTGTGTGCTCAGATAGTCTCAGGGGAGACACTTTAGTCACAGGGACATTCCAAATGCTCCAAACAGTCAGGAAATTCTGAGACCACAGCAACATTCATTCCTTTTCAGTTGAAATGTAGCACTGAGGAATCCTCATATTACATCCAAAATGTATTTTTTCACTATCAAGAGAGCGGGGATGAACTCCTGTCTCTAATGTAGCCCATATTGAGCAGGCTTTGACATGAGCTACATGTCATAACAGTCATCGAGTGGTCAAGTGCTGAACTCTATGGAAAGTGTCTGGTTTCAACTGCTGAGAAAATTCTGGAAGGGATCCATCCTATCTTCATTCCAAATTTTTCTCTTTTCAGTTGTTAAGGGTAGATTATGCTTCCCTAACACTGAAGAGAAGGCATTTCACTGACTTGTCTCAATCTATTTTTGTTACTTTCCTGAGCTAGCCTCAATAGCTGAGATGTGGCATATATTGTATTTCTAAACACTTTTTCAAATTAATAAAATTAATTCTTGGAGGAAAAAAAAACAAAACAAAAAAATCCTTGTTCCCTAGTGATAAGAAATTTTACTAGAAAAATCTCTGATATCAATTTTTCACATAATTATGTCTGAAAGTATTCAAAATCCTGTAATGTTCTTGATTTCAAATATGAGCTAACAAAATAAATCTCTGATGCTGCTCAACAGAACACCAGCTTGATCAACACCAAGAAGAAGCTGGAGACAGACATTTCTCAGATTCAGAGCGAAATGGAGGATACGATCCAGGAGGCCCGCAATGCTGAAGAGAAGGCCAAGAAGGCCATCACAGATGTGAGTCGGGGCTCCTTTCATTGCTGATGGGGATGTATTCTCCCCAAAATGTCTCCAGCCCCACAAGGGCTTTGACCTTTTGCTCTGCTCAGGCGGCCATGATGGCAGAAGAGCTGAAGAAGGAGCAGGACACCAGTGCCCACCTGGAGAGGATGAAGAAGAACCTGGACCAGACGGTGAAGGACCTGCAGCACCGTCTGGATGAGGCCGAGCAGTTGGCCCTGAAGGGAGGCAAGAAGCAAATCCAAAAGCTGGAGGCCAGGGTGAGTAGGGCTGTGTTGGTGCATGAGTGACCCCGTCCCTTGGAGAGACACCCCCAGGGAAGCTGCAGGGACGGGCTTCTCATTGCAGGTGCGGGAGCTGGAAGGGGAGGTTGATGCTGAGCAGAAGCGCAGCGCTGAAGCCGTGAAGGGTGTGCGCAAGTACGAGAGGAGGGTGAAGGAACTCACCTACCAGGTAAGGCTGGAGGCTTCTTTGCATTGCCTTCCTGGTAGAACAGCGTCTCAAAACGTTGGAACATTGCCTTCCAGAGGGATTTCTTTCTATACCTCAGACAATGACAGAGTTAACTGGATTTTGACACCTGTCCTTCTGGACTGCAGTGTTCCATAAACTATATTATTCCCTCTGTTTCACATTTATGAAATTTAGAGAATGATGTAAACAAGGTTTTCTGTTACTTGCCGTTCTCTGTAGTCTGAGGAAGACCGGAAGAATGTTCTCAGGCTGCAGGATCTGGTGGACAAGCTGCAAATGAAGGTGAAAGCCTACAAGAGACAAGCTGAAGAGGCTGTGAGTATTGATGTGTGAAGTCAGTTTTTTTCTAGGTGGATGTGGAATTGTGTGTTGTTGTTTTCCCTTCTGTTCAAACCATGTTCAACATTGTGGGAGTAGGGCTCTGCTTCCTTTCATTTTCTTTATTTCATATTTCTGCCTAGCAGAAAACAAATCACCTTCAAAAATTGTAATATATAATTTTATAGCAGTAAATAACTGGAAAATGATTTAATGGAAATAACTGCAATTATATATAATAATTCAAAAATTCCATAGTGCACTAACACTTCGTATTTAGAGCTAGGTTCTTGGTATGTCTTACTAACCATCTAAACATTTAGCATTTAAGCTATTTCCTTGGATTCCTCTAGAAGTATTAGAGAGAATTACATACTAACTCATAGTCCTAGGGGTATTTTTCATTATTAAAAAGGAAAATGCCACAGCATGTTAAGGGCAGTGTTACAGTAGGACTTTCATTAAATGTTTTAAAGCCTATTTTATGTTTCTTCATATCTCCAGGAGGAGCTCTCCAATGTCAACCTCTCCAAGTTCCGCAAGATCCAGCACGAGCTGGAGGAAGCCGAGGAACGGGCTGACATTGCAGAGTCCCAGGTCAACAAGCTCAGAGTGAAGAGCCGGGAAATTGGCAAGAGGGCAGAAAGTGAAGAGTAAATGACGCCAGTGCTGTAAAGTGAGAGAATTGCAAAAATGTGACATTCTATCACTTTTATTTTGTAATCACTGCTTAGTCCTTCATCAATATCTAGATAAATAATGCCTAGAAAATAAAAATTGTAGAGCTTTTGCCATTTAAATAATGAGAAGTGTTGTATTTTAATCATTACCCCGAATTCTTATTTTTTATTCTTATTTCTTAATTCTTATTCTTATTTCTTATTCTTATTCTATATTTACATTTTTCCTTACTTATTTAAACTTATTTATTCAATTAAAAATCTTGCTTCAGGTATTTTCAAAGTGTTTCAGCCACTGTCAAAGTGGTCTAATCCGACATCCTGCTTTGTTCTCACCATAGAATTTCATCTAATACTTCCTAATGTGGCAAGTCATTATTTCTTTGCAAGAGAATATAATAATCCCTTATAACAGTTGCTTTAGGAATACAATAGATATTAACTCAATTGCTCTGTCCAAAGAATAAGAATTTATTGCATCTTCCATTAATCCAGCCTTATCTTTGATCATTATTTCAAGTTAAGCTTTTTCAATCCTTCAAGCCACTTTGGAACATAGTTTAGAGTACATTTAAACCTAAAATGAGGTCTACTTTCATCTTTTGTTCATGAAAGTGATGTGCAAACCAACATTCCCAGGGCAGCACACCAGCAACCAGCAACCAGCAATAGTCAGTCATTCCTTGCCTATATTCTGTTCCCGAAACTCCCCTGAATCTTCTAACTTGGCCAGGCAGACACTTACCTCCTATGCAGTCTACAGGGTAACCCAGATAACTTTACCCAGCCTGGCATCACTCAAAACATGTGTTTTCATTCTTTACAATATAAAGTAAAACATATGCAGGTATTCTTCCCAAAAATGTCAAGGCAGTGGAACAATTTAAAAAAAGGTTTATTTCAGATGCAAGGGCCCTTTCTTAACATGCTGCATGCACCGGGCCCTCAGGGAAAAAAGCAATGCCCCACCTTCTTTTTGTATCTTCCCTCTCTCCTCTCCCACACTCTCTGGCTTGACGATGCCTTGTACGTGTCTGCAAACATGTTATCTCCCTGCATACCAGGGAGATATCTTACAGCTTCTCCCTGTGACTTTCTCTGAAATATAGAAGGAAGGAAAAAAACCATTTAACCCATTTGAGAAGGCATTTTACAGTCTTCCTGAGAGAAATTGAGTTCTAGCTTTCCATCACGAATTCTTCCAAAATTGTACCTATCCCTACAACATTACACATCATAGAAATCCATTGGTCACCTCTTAAAAAAAAGGAGAAATAGGTGTCACTTTCTCTGTCATAATCTAATATGTAGAGGACTTGTCCTTCCCCAGTCTGAAGATATTTGAACCAGTGAGACCTTCTCAAGATTTTTTCATATTCCACTTGGAAATAAGATACTTGAAGAAACCAAATCAACTACTCCTGTTGCAGATCCACAGCTATGCCTTCGAAAATAAAATCAGTTGTCTACAATGAAAAATGTCAAAATAGTCTCTGTAGAATACCAAAGAAAATGCTAATCTAGCAAAGGATGACTGCATTACTGAAGGGCTGGCAATTCACTGCTGTGACATGGGCCTGTCCCTCTCTTTGTTTGATTAGTTGATAAACCTGATGACTTGTCAGAGTTCACAAGCACCAAGAATATTCAATTATCTTCCTTTTGAGTTGGGCCATACTCTAAAACTTTCTTCTACATCTCTTCCTTTCATTCCTTAGTGTTAACTGAACAATGAGGCTATGGTGCTCTCTGCTGTGTCCAAAGACATAGGAGCTGAAGTCCAGAGCTGAAGGCTATGATAAACAACACAACTTTCCTCACAGTAGACATCCGTTTGTAGTTTCTTCATTTGGCTTTTTCTGAGAGAAGTGATCTAGCCCACAACACATCTGCATTTGCCATTGAGACACCACTGTCTCAGACCAACATTAAAGCCATTGCACTTCTCAGTGAACTTTTCGAACGAAGATTTAGGAAGGCTCTATCCACGTTTGTTACAAGCACACTGGTGGCTTATGAGGCCAATACGAGATAGACATATCCGATTGCAAAAGGCACAGCAGAAAGACTCCTTAGGTGGTATATCCAGCAAGACACGATTCTTTCTGCATTGTCTTTTCTCCTCAAGGGTGATCCTGTGTGCGTTCTCAAAGGAAACGGCAGCGTTATAGATGGTGTGTCTCCAGACCTCCCGATTTCAGGCCAGAGTAGACCAGTTATGATGATCAATATGGCCAAGGCTGAGATGTTGTTTCAGGGAGTCCTTGTATCTTTTTTTGGGGGCTCCTGTCTTGCAGTAGCCAGTGGCAAGTTTACCATAAGGTAAGATCTTAGGGAGGCGGTGATCTTTCATCCTGGAGACGTGCCCTGCCCAGCACAGCTGTGTTCTCAGTAACATGGTCTCAATGCTTGTGACTGCTGCTTGTTCTAGAACAGATGTATTGGTCACATAATCTGACCAGTGGATGTTTAGGATTGTTCGGAGGCAGCGTTGATGGAAGCATTCTAGGAGTCGCAGGTGGTGGCGGTAGATGACCCATGATGGACTAAAGAGTATTGCAGGTCTCAGAACTGACCATCATTCCAAATAATTTGTCTGTCATTCATCACCCTCCTGTTTCCTATTTAAAAAAAAAAAAAAAGTTATTAAGCTTTCTAAGCATGGAGTGGTGAGTAACAGAGAGAATTATGACTAGTGTTCAATTGACAGTCACTTCTGATTATGTATTAGTTTATATAACTTCTGGTTGTTTTCCGCAGTTCTGATTCTTAGTTTGACACATGAAAGAGAGCATTCAGTGACTGAGAGCTATTCAGTAATTTTTCCCCTTTAGTTTCTACTTAATGAGTATTATTCAAACTAGGATTGAAGATGGAAATACTAAATTCCTCATAGGCTTTCCAAGGTTTTAAGATAGATGTGTGAATTACTAGAATCACAGAATGGTTTGGATTGGAAGGGGCCTTTGAAGGTCATCTTGTTCCACCCCCGCCATGGGCAGGGACACCTTCCACTAGCCCAGGTTGCTCCAAGCTCCGTCCAACCCGGCCTTGGACACTTCCAGGGATGGGGCAACCACAGCTTTTCTGGACAACCTATGCCAGGGCCTCTCCACCTGTCCCAGGGGAGTGGAAGGCTTAGACAAAGTTTTTTAGAGAAGCCCTCTTGTTGAGCTATGAGGTACAGAAAGGACCCCTTTGCTTTCCAAACTCCTTCTCAGAGAGGAGTCTCGGTGTGTCTGGATCCAATCTCAGCCTCAGATTTTGTCCACAGTTTAAATTTAAGGAATTATAGAGTCATGATTAAACCACTTTTGTCCCACAGGTCTTAATGATGGCAAATCAGATATATTTATATAAAATGAATTATTTATTATGACAAATGAACAGATAAAATATCTTAATCAGAATTATTTACTACACAGTATAAAAGCAAAAAACTACTAGTAGAGTACAGTATAGCATAAAGTGATACAGTGCACTGTACCAAAGCAATTGTATTAAAGCAATTGTATCAAAGCTGGCAAAAAGAAATAATCAGTAAGTAGAGATTGATGTGACTCACCACACAACAATTGTGGGCAGATCTCTGTCTTTCACTTAACCACGAAGAGGTATCTCTGCTTCACAGGAGAAGCTCCACACACTCAAAAAAAGTATATGGAAGAATCTACCATATGAAAGTTGGACTGGGCTTTTATAGTTATAAAGTAATTGACTGCCAGTCACATATTCCCAGGCCAGCCAGCAGCTTATCTGTTAAATCTTGCTTCAAAAAGCAGGGGGGTTGTTTGCAGTCTGGTGAACCAGGCTGGTTTTAACACAATTCAACACTAAAAGCAGTAACTCATCACAGACACTGTATTTTAGGCCCAAGGCAGATAAGACGTATCAAGGCAGAGCATCCTGGTACACCACTCTCACAGGGTAGAATTTGTTCCCAATATCCAATCTAAACTTACACTCTTTCCGTTGGAAGCCATTCTCCCTTGTTCTGTCACTCCTGGCCCTTGTCCAAAGTCCCTCTCCAGCTCTCTTGGAGCCTCTTAGGCACTGAAAGGGGCTCTGAGGTCTCCCTGGAGACTTCACTTCCCCAGGCTGAACACTCTCAGCTCTCCCAGCCTGGCTCCAGAGCAGAGGGGCTCCAGTTCTTTAAACATCTTTCTGGCCTCCTCAAGACTCGCTCCAGCAGCTCCACATCCTTCCTGTGCTGGGCCCCCAGGGCTGGAGGCAGCTTTGCAGGAGGATCTCACCTGAGGGGGCAGAAAGGCAGAATCCCCCCCCTCCCCTGCTGTCCACACTGGGGGATCAGCCCAGCACACAGGGGGGTTTCCAGCCTCCCCCACCAGCATCCACGAGTTCTTCTCCCCAGGGCTGCTCTTGATTCATTCCCTGCCCAGCCTGTACATGTGCCCAGGATCACATACTGATGTATTTACTGAAGGCAATTCATGCATACATACACATACACATACTCATAATTTCCAAAACTATTTTTGTGAGCACCAAGCCAATAACATGAAAATGTAGGTTACTGTTTCATTACTGATATATAATCAAGGTCAAAAGTAGTCACTTTTCTTAGCATTCAATTTCGAGGCTTTGATATGGACTTTACAGCTGTACAGCACAGCTTGCCCTGAAGGAGTCCTCTAGTTAAGCATCACAATATCTCCAAACATGTTCCCAGAGTCACATGTCAGACACCTGAGAAAGGACATTTGTGGGATTGATTGTCACCTGTGAAAAGGATTGCTATCGAGTTCCTTTTGGAGAAAGAAAAAGATGACAAATCAGCATGCAGCTTTTGTACCATGCAGACAAGTCCTGGTTTAATGCATCCCATGGAAAGAAAAGCAGTAGGAGCCTCTTTGCTCAGAAACCCTCTAATCTGCCAAGGAACCGTTCGAGCATTTGGGGTCCTTTTCACGATAGTTTTTTCCTGCCTGAGTCAAGCAGATAATTTTTTACCTCCACCTCCACCCCAGCCTGGCTCTGCCCCTGTGCACCACAGGCAGACTGACAGGGGCTGTTGACCAAGGCTCCCTGAAGAGAACACTGCAGGACGAGGCAGTACCTCAAGGTAAGTCTCTGGTCTGGACAAACATTTCCAACAACAAACATTAAATAGCAAAAACCATTGCCCCACAACCAACATGCCTCAGCTAAATCTGAAGGAAAGCAAAAGCAGTGAGTGGAAAAGGTTCAGTTCTACAAATGCTTTTACAGAAAAAAAGAAAATAAGGCTTCAATCTGCTTCAGCTGTGACATTTTCTTTGCCTGGCTGACTTTAGCTGAACCTCTGCAGACATGAGGCTGCAGCTAGGGTTTTCATCCCCACTGGTATGATGGGCTGCAGAGACTGGGATTGACTGAGGAGCTGATCCCACCCCTGGAATATCTTACACCATAGCATCACAGAATCATTTAAGTTGGAAAAGACCTCTAAGATAATTGAGTCCAACCGTTAACCTAACGCTGCCAGGTCCACCACCATGTACCTAAGTGCCACACCTACATGTTTTTTTAACACTTCTGGGATGGTGACTCCCCCACTTCCCTGGGTAGCCCATTCCAATGCCTTCTAATGACCGCTCTTTCAGGGAAGAAATACTCCCTTATATCCACTCTGAACCTCCCCTTGCACAACTTGAAACTGCTTCCTCTTGTCACTTGTTTCCTGGAAGCAGAGCCCAACCCCCACCTGGCTCCCCCCTCCTGTCAGGGAGCTGGAGAGAGTGAGAAGGTCCCCCCTGAGCCTCCTTTTCTCCAGGCAGAGCCCCCTCAGCTCCTTCAGGTGCTTCTTATCAGACTTGTGCTCCAGACCCTTCCCCAGCAACTTCTTATAGCAGGACAGTCAGAGGAATGAATCCCAAAATATCATGGAAGATCTATACGTGCCTCCTAAGGTCTCTCTTCCACCTCCATGCTGTGTTGTCCCCCACAGGAATCCCAGCAAGCTTGGGGGCAACATCTGGGTGATCTGTGTTGGTTATGTGATAACACCCACGAAGCAACACTGAAAGACCATGGCAAGAGGAGAAGCCCAAATAACACCTTGCCCAGCTACTCCCAGGCCCATCACAGGAGCCCATCAGCCCATCAAAGGCACTTCTGTAGTCCAGGGGAGCACAGGGTACAGTGGGGACTCCCAAGGAACAAGCACCCTGGCCAGGTCCCCAGGGATGTCCTGATGCAACACAAGGTGTGAAACCCACTCCCACGAGCCACAGGGAGCAACTCTCCTTTCTGACTGAGGAGAGCTGCTGCCGAGGGGTGCAGGGGAAGAGACATTGGGAGCACAAAGAGATAGTCATGGGACATTTTAGGGATAAACCAAAGGTTTGAAGAGGAGGAGGGTAGGTGATCTGGGCAGGAACAAATATACCAAACTAGAGGTGTAAGGAGATAAAAAGGACTGATGATGTGTAAGTAGAGGCTGGTCAGCATGCCTTTGTGACCATGCCCTGTGCCTGATCATTGCACTGTCCTCCACTTATTTATATATGTATATATTTCTTTTTATATAGATAGATGTATTTATGTATGCAAATGCACGTACAGGGCACATACATTTGCTCTGTGTGTGTTTGTGCCTCCTGAGAGCACATTTTGAGCCTTGCTACAGGGAACATGGAGTTCCTGAAGCCTAACCTCTCTCAGACTGTTGGATCCAGCATGATGTATTTTCCTTTAACATCTGGCACAGCCGACAAGAGACAGCTGGGCTCTGACTGTTTCCAAAACAGCAGATCCAGTATTCCCAATGGAGGAAGGCAATAGATCCTTTTTCAAATGTGTTCTATCTGTCAGAATTATTTGCCAAACCTTTGGAATATTGTGAGGGAAAATCCTGGATTAACCAGGGCGATGGACTGAGAAATACATGCACAATATTGTGTATGTGAAGACTGGTGTGGAAATTGGCTTTGCAATGAGTTGGTTTCTTTTGAAAAACTGTTGGCCCACCACAGATCAAGTCCTAAGTACCTTGACTACAAAGCAGGTAGAGATCAGAGAGCTGAGGCCAGGTTCTCTGCAAACCCTGTGTTGGAAGCTGAGTTACAGAGGTACTAACAATTGCCAATGAGTGTCCTCAACTTACAGAAGAATTTCTAATTTCACAAAGTTCATAAATAGAGTAACAGGGCTTCAGTTCACATAGGGACACTATAGGAGGGACGAAAGGTGGAAATTTCATCATTACCTTCCTTATAAAGGATTTTGTGGGGTTTGCCTTTTTCTGACCTCCCTTGTCTCTACACCCTACCTTTTAAATTCTTTCTTTACAATTAAACTTGGAGCTGTAAGTACTGCAAATGTGGGGATAGTGCCTGTGAGCACTGCCAACAACGTGCAGAGTGCAGCTTTGCAATTGCCCCACGGGGTGTACACACATGCTCTGGGAAGATATCCGCAGGACCCGAGGGCATGGAGCTGCACCAATTGTGTCACTCTCAGGTTGAGAGTGATGTTATATTTTGCATGAGCATGTTATATCTTTCTCCAAAATCCTGAGCTTGCTATAGTGCTGCTACAAGAGTATCCAAGAGTTCTTTCAAAATACTTCAGCTGGGAAGACCAGGAAGGGATCTGAAAAGAGCTGGTGCAGGCTCTTCCC